GAGATATTACAAAACAGAGTGACATCAAAATCACATTATTACCAAATTGAGACAATTCAAAACGGCCACACCTGCGACTATGTGACCATTTTTGACTTTTTTTATGATGTCACTGTGACAATCTGAATTATCTGGGAAACTTTCGACCACTCTTCTGATCAAATAATTAAGACCACATTTCCCAGATTGCGGCTTTATTTTAAGGGTGCAAAATTTTCAAATCCCTCAACAACAACAAAAGTATGCTTATTCAGACATTGTACTGGTTTGCGTCTGATTTCATAATTTAAAATATCATCTGCACTAACTAATTAGTATATTTGAAACCATCTCAATGAACCATTAAGATTGAAGCCTAGTGCATGAAAATTCAATCATTAGGGGATCAAAAGTTATTTAGAGTGTTTCGTTTATTTTTTGTTTGCACTGTTCATTAATGGTAATCATTACTAAACCCCTTGTATTCATTAGTTGAGGCTTTTCCTTCATTTTCTAAAAAAGATTTCTTTTTTCAAGTTTTAAAGATTAATTTCTTTTCCAGAAAATAATAAATTCCAGAATTACACATTGATTTTAGAGAAAAATATAACGGATTGTTGAGCTTTTAAAAAATTAGAAAGGAAAGTATATAAAGTACTAAATGTGCTGATTCCATAACAATTTAATTTTTGTATGAAGTTGAAATATTTTACATTTCACTTTATTGATATTGTTTCGAAACTTCTTTCACAATAAACCATATCAACAAAACACAGAAATAACTTAAACTACTGATTCGATTTAATTTGCATAGAATACTAGATTTATTGAAAATGTAATTTATTGAGAAAAAAAAGTTTAGTTTTTTTTTTTTTTTTTTTTTTTTTTTTTTTTTTTTTTTTTTTTTTTTTTTTTTTTTTNTTTTTTTTTTTTTTTTTTTTTTTTTTTTTTTTTGCAATTTTATTATTATGTTAATTTAATAAGCAACAAAATGAAAAAAAATTCTACAATGCAAAGATGCTTTAACATAACAAGAGATAAAAATCCCTTGAACTAACTGCTTCATTTTATTTATTTACTTATTCATTCATTTATTCATTTTTTCCTCCTTTATTAGATACAGTCTTGTTTTGGACCCATGAGACAAAATAAAATTATACTATAAACTGATTATTGAAATTTTATTAGAATTTAATATTAGATCAATGCTATATTTTTTTATTCATTTAATAACCCCGGTGAACTTTGCTGCAACAGATCTACCGGGTGTTCCGCTATCACCTCCCTTACTATGATTTTTTTAATCCATATGAAAGATGAAGTAAAAAATATATAAACATTAGAAGTCGCTATTTAATGCTCGAAAAATGTATACAGAGAACGATGATAACGATGCACCTTGTATATTAATTTTGAACAGAATAAAATTCCTACGTCTGTATTTTTTGTCTTCCTTATTTCCTAATGTACTAATACAAGAGAAATTAAATTAACGATTTTAAGCGTGACTGTATAGCTCAAAAATTTTTGCTAATTGTTTAATTATACCTAAAAGAAAAAATGTTGCTAGAAAGTAAAATAGCTGATTTATTCACTTTCCTTGTTTATTTATTTATTTTTTTCCAATGAAACTGAAAGAGCGATAAATGTTTGAAAGTCTTATTTGGCAGCAAGGACTGAAAAGAAATCCAAAAAACTATGTACAGTTCATAAAATAAGAGAGTCAACACCCTGAATAACTTTTTATCTAATGATCGGATTTTCACGGACTATAACTCTATAGGTCGCAGACCTTACATTTAATAATAAATATGCTAATTAATGCATACTTTAATTTTTTGGAATCATTTTTGATGGATTTGGAGTCTTGAACCTCAAAGTAAAGGAGGGGATAGGTATTCGAGTACTATTTCATTTCTACTTTGTATTTTCTCGTTTAAAATTACTTATTTTAAAGTTATGTAAATTTGTATACTCACAATTTAAAAGTATTTCGGCCATTATTAAATATAATAATGAATGCACTGAATAATTATTAGAACTTACTTTTAGCATGGAATTATTATAGAATAAACGAATTTTATAATTGTTTGCAAACATTTTTGGTTGGCTTAAAATGTTCCCGAGGTATAGTTTAGTACGCAAAATGTGAAATTAACATTAAAGGTACAAACTTTTCACTGCTCTCCTGCTTCAAATATCGGGGCCATCTTTTCAGATTACGGCTACCCCCTCTATTGTGATTAGTCGAAAAAAAGGTATGTTTATATAAGAAAAATGCGTTTTCCTGCCTGATGTCATAAACTCAAAATATCATCTAAACTAATTAATTTGCATATTTAAGATTAGGCCCTCGAACCACTAGACTTATGTCCCCTCGTACACAGAAATCCGATCATTAGATCAAAAGTTATTCAGAGTGTTCACTTTTTTTTATTTTATGCTCAATACATATTAAAAACCATTACATTCGAAATAAAATTGATTTTTTTTGTACTCTTTTTCTTGTAATATTTTTTTAATTACTTATTTATATTTCTCCCTCCCTTTAAATTTCTATTTAAAAAGCGGAAACGAGGTCAATGGAATTAATGTTTTATCTGTTTTCCTTTCTAAGAAATATCTCTAAAAATAATACAACTCTCCCATTAGAAATGTTTACTTCGATAATCTTTCTCCAGAATAACAGGGGATTTTGGGAAAGTGAACAATCCGTGATTAAGCTTCTTATATACATTGTATCAACCACTCCTATACTTACAAATATTGATTATTTTTTCTTTCGTACATACGTTTTGAAGTAAAAGGATGTAGAACATTCTCAGAAAGGGAAAAATAGATAAAATAAGACATGACAGTTGCCATTTCATTTTATTCATCTTATCACTAAGGTCTAATGCAATGTAAAAGCTGCCTTTGAATTTGTCTTTAATGATATGATTAAGAAAAAAGAAGAATCGTTTTAAAATTAACGGGAAATATTCTCAGGAATGAAAAAAAAAGTTGCATTTTTATAAGTATTGTCTTATAAGTAGATGTTAAATCAAAAATAAAGGCTGGTTCGAAGCATATTGCGGCAAAGCAAAAATGGGGGGGGGGGTATACTTTCCCTGAAAGTTTTAATATTCTGAAATTGCTTCTTCTTATTTGGTAAAATTATTGTTCTGAAATAATCTTATTGAAATAATTACATCGTAATTTATTTTTCATATAAATGTCTAGAAGTGAGGGGATATAAAACATTCTAAGAAAAAAAAATAGATAAAAGAAATCATTCTAATTGTTGTTGCATCTAATTCATCTTGTAATTAAGAACAAATCCAATGCAAATATTGCCGTCGTATTTAAACTAGGTGATAAAATGAATACAAAAAGTAAATATCTTTTCAAAATACATGAAAAATGTGTTCAAGAATGAACAAATTATTATTATTATTAGTAGTAGTAGTAGTAATAGTATAAAATATAATTTTATTAGTTGAAGCTAAATGGAGAAATCATGAATGAATGATCAATTGCTGTAAGTGCTGAAAAATGGAAGTTTTCCACGATAATGGAAATTTAAATATTTGTAAATTGTTGCTTCAGTTTTGTTAAAAATATTTTTTGAATTAAAATTGATATTTATTATGTCAGTATCTTCCATAAATTTCAAAAGAATTTAAAGAGAGAAAGAAGGGGAAAAAATTCAAATGAATTTGAACATTTTTTTTAATAACGTACACAAATTGCTTCCGTTAGGTTTTTTTTTCCTTCTTAATTTTATTTATTTATTTATTTTTGAGAATAGCTATCTCGATATTATGGTCATACTTATTCAAATAAAGTACTTTAATGAATTAAAAAAATTATTTTAATAACTATTGCAAAACTTTTCTTAAAAGTTCAGTACTTTTGCTTCATTTCTCATATTGCTTTTGTGAAGATAGTTTCTACATTTATTCTGTTTATAATTAAAAATATTTGAATTCAGTGAACCATAATAAACTAAATTCAACTTGAATTGTCAGTTTTGCCAACCGCGCACTTGTATATTTATAGCAAAACTGGCGCTATTTACATTTAGGTTGAGCCTTGGTCTAAAATGGTTAGGTTGAGAAATAAGCCAAATCATGTGAATTAATTTAAATTCATAACGTAATATATAACTAGGAATGTGAGAATTACGTTACTCTCTCAGAATAAATTATTTAATGGTTAAGTGCAAATTTTATTTTATAAAAGATACCAACATCAAAAATTGCGTAACTCTTTCTCATAAATTAATTGTAGAATCAGAATAATAATTTTATTCATAGATTTATTTACTGAAAAAGCTTTATTAACTTGCATTTTAATTTTTTTTTAAATTTCCTTCTTTTTCAATTTTAATTTTTTTTTACAAAAAAAGTATATTATCTATGGTTTTAGTAAGAAAGTACTAAAAATTATTTGTCATGCTGGTGTAATGATAAAATCTTCCTATAATTTATTTTTCACAGCTTAACTATAGTATTTTCTCCGCCTTTCATTTTCGTGATGATTCTCTTTATGAAGTGCATTTTTTTAAAGGAATGTTTAAAGCTTATACAGCTACTTTTTTTTAAATTTAGATAAGCTATTGGTGCCCTTTTACCGTTTCTTTTTTTAATTAGCCACCCAAGTTCGTATCAATCAAACATTTGCGATAGGAACAGAAGTAAAAATCATCAGAATCTCCTACTTCCAACAAAACCAACCACAACGTCTACATGTTTGGCTCCTGCGTCAGTGTCTGAAGTTTGGTTACAATGAGAAATTAGATTTCTATGCAATTCATTATTGTTTACTTCTAGATTAAGAATAATCTGACTGAAGCGGCAATTACATCAATGAATTAGCTCTCTAAATTTTTCCTAGCTTTTCCTTTCATTCGACGATTGATAACATTCTCAAGAATGTTGTTGCGGATGTTTTTCCCATATGGAGAGCAATGAACTTGCTTCCGGAGGTTTTTATTAGAGATATCAGTTTATATTAGGGACTGCTTATTATAAAAATACAAATTTCTTTAAATTCCTGTTTGAAAATTTTTCATTTGAAATAGGTTTCTTTTAGATGGCATCACCGGAATATTCTAGAAATTTTATTTTTTTCATTTGAATTTTTTCTGCACGTCCGCCAAAACACGCCACGCATGCGCTTTTTCGCCGTTTCTGGTTTTAGCAGAGACGTTGCAGTATTTCTGTGGTTATAATACCAAAAAAATTTTTTAGTTTTTCTATCTATTTTATTGGTGTTATTTACAAATCCAGACATAATAATGGCTCTTCCAAGGTGCTACTTTGACATGACTGCCGACGGTGAACCTGTTGGAAGAATAGTTTTTGAAGTAAGATTTTTGTAATGTTTAATCAATTTTGCATTTAAGCTTACTAATTAATTATTTATTATTAATTCAATCGAATTCTTTTTCTTTAAATTCGACTTTTTAAAAAAAAATTTAGCTGAAGAGCTAACCTTTGTCAAATTTTGGTTGAGTATTAACAAATATTTTCTTTAATAATTGCTACCGGTGTACAACATGAAATTTAGGGCGAGGCTTAGATTCTTCTAAGTGATTATAATCCATGTATCACAAAATTATTTTAATGATAAAATATGATTTCTGCGAGTGTATGTGTGTGATTTTGTTAATTAATATGAGAATTAACTTGAGTAGTGTTTAATATTTCATATCTAATCACAAATAAACCTATTTATTATGGATTTCACTTAATCCCAGTTCATAATTTGCATAGTTATTGCAATGTACATAAATTCTTATACGAAGTTATACATTCATGTGCATATCTGCCAACTCTATTTAATTTTCCAAGTAGAATACTGGGTTTATCCAAGTTTTCCTGGTTTAATTATAAATTCTCCCGATTTCTGTAAATTTTTGAAAATCACTTAAAATTCCCAAAATTGGAAAAAAAATCCATACCTTAAAAGGTTTCTTCTCCGTTTATAGCTATTTTTAAATAATTATTAATACTAAATAATGAAATAAGCTTTATATATAGTTGCCAGTTTGAAAGAATTTCTTTTTAAATATTCTTCAATTTTCATTTTTTTATTAATATTTTATTCAAAACTTTTGTTTTTTAAATGAGTTTAAAAATATGTTGTAACTATCTAAAATGATTGGATGAAAAGCTATTACTCATCAAAATTGTAAATAAACACAGTAAAAAAAGATTATATTGAAGGTATTTTCATGCTGTTCATTTATGAAAAATATTGTTGTCATTTTAAATTTATAGTTTTAAATGTAATGTACATTGCATATTTCACTGGTTATATAAATCTCTGAAGTATCTTAGATTCTATTAAGAATAGTTAGTTTAAAATTTATATTTCGTAAAATCTATTTGATTTTTCTTACTTACATACAGTTATGCATTTATACATATATTTATATAGATATTTACATAAATATATATATACGTACAAAGCAGGGTTGGCAGGTTTTTGACATGTGACAGTTTTTGACAGTTTAAACCATGGTTTAAACCGTCACGTCAAAAACCTCACTGTCGAAAATGTCAAAAACCTATATTCATATGTGAAATTTAATTAATACATAAAATTTATATATTTTTTATAAAGGATAGTGTTTCTAAATATGTTCTAGAAAAAATAAATTTAAAATTTTGAAGAAACACTTATATTTTGAATAGTAACCAAAATCTTGTACTTTTGAAAGCTCACATCTTTTGTAATATTATGTATTCATTTTCATGTGTTATTGAAAATCTGCAGTGATATTATTAAGAAATTTATTTATAACCAAATTTAGTGTATAGTATAGATTATACTAAAAATTAGACATTTTTAAAGATAAACATTAGCAGTTTTGTACATTAGACATCTTTTAAAGAAAAATCTTTTTAATATTCTTTTAAATCTTCTTAATAATCTTTTTAACATAAGACAATACAAATTTAAGTGCTTTCTGTTAAATACACAGAGTAGTTAGTGTCGATTTACAGTATATTCAGCCTATTCATTTACTATGCTGAAAATTTAGTTTATCCAAATACTTGTGAATTTCATTTTGCTGAATACGATATAGTTTTGTTGAATATCTAAATATTCAGCTGTTGAATAATTACTTCTTGCTTTCAAGATATGCATTATTTGTATTCTTAATACAAGTGGAGAAAAAAAAATTAAGAGATAAAAATTGTTTTAAAATGATAAGTGTAATAATTATAAATAAATATAATAAACAATATGAATTATATTTATCATTATTCATAAATATAACTACTTTTAAATTCAAATTAACATACTGGATAATAAAGATATTCGGTATAACATTAAAAAAAAATTTTTATACACTTGTATCTTATATCAAGTTTGTATTTATACAACATAACTTGTAAGTTCCTTATAAATATTAGTTATATGTTCCTTATATGTCAAAAATGCATAGTAATAAACTTTTAATTTTCTTAAGTATCAAAAAGAAAAAAAAAATTTTTTTAAATATAAATATTTAAACAATTTTTGTGCAAAATTTTTCTGCACATGCATTTGAATATAAATTTCTGAGATTTTAAATCTGTTATTTTACCTTAATTTTAATTAAAAAATATTTTAAAACCTGCTGATTACCTATAGTATAATTAAATTTCAATATAATGCATGGCAACTGTTGGTAGTTTTGAAGTTTATATATTTTTTTGGCAAACTTTAGTTTTTGACATTTTTGACGGTTTAAACCAGTATTATACCCTTGTCGTGTCAAAAACCACTTTTTGACGTCAAAAACCCAACCCTGGTACAAAGTGGTAAATAATATTTTTCCTATTCATGAAATTGAATTAACAAACTTTTTTCTACGAATATCTAAAACAAATAGACGTGGCATTAATTCTAAATTATCACCAGGTAGTGTTTCTAAATCAGGATCATCTATCATGTGCAATCTCCAAGATTCTAAACTCACAAACTTTTCTGTAAAAAAAAAAATAATAATAATTTTTAAAAACTTAAAATTGTTGGTTTTGGAGTGGTTATGAGTTGGTCTTCTTTTGACTTGGTCTTCTGCATTTTTTTTTTTTTTTTTCAGTCCACTCTTTTGAAATTGCCTAGATTTAGCGATTAATTTTATTCAGATTATGATACGGAAGTATTCCCAATCATTATTTATAACCTATTTAGATAAATAATGGTCTTTTTTCTTGTCCAAATTTTCAATGTGAACTTTTGTATTAAATATTACTGAATAGTTAGCATGAAATTTCTGTTTCATAAAATCTACAGCATTTTTTTCTCTTTTATATTCACAGTTGTGCATGTATATTTGTGCAAAAAATATCATGAATAACATTTCTTCTATTTATGGATATTTACTTAGCAATCTTTGTCTTGCAAATATCAAAGAAGAGGACAAGACTTTCGGCATTGATTCTGATGGATCACCAGTCGCAACTCATTCAGTTAAACAATGATCTTATTTTATTTCTTGTTCGAATATTTCAGTTTGAAGATGTGAATTGTCAAGGCTATGAAATTTTTTTTGTGTGTTTTTCAGGTAAAATTTTAATTTTGGTGTCAACTCTAGGTAGAGAAGGCAAAGTAAAATCCAGTCGTAATTTTTATTTGTAATGACAATTTTTGAAAATATTTTCTTATTTTCCATATTTTTGTGTTGATTTGTTAACATAATTTTAAATTTTTCACAAATTATGTCTAAATTTTCACAAAATAGGTACCTACAGACCTTTGATATAGTCTTGTATAAAATAAATGTTGTTTTTGTAAAACTATATTTTTTATTCGAGTAAAGTCTTAGTTTTTGATGAATAATTTTCATAAACTTTTATATTTCTTTTTCATCCTATTTTTTATCCAAATTTCAATTTATTATGTTAAGAACAGTGCCTTTGCAAGAAATCCTAAAAAAATGTGCATTGTACAAATGTCTTAGCATTGAGCCAATGGAGGCAATGCATGTTTAAGAACACTAAAATTTTAAGTCTATTGCTATTATTTTTTTTTTTTTTTTTTTGTAAAATGAATTATATTTTAACCCAACTCAAAGAAATAATTATCATTGAACTAACAATGCTAGTTCAATTATGCTAGTCTAGCATAACATTTGGCTCAAAGAAAACATTTTATTATAAAGAATTATGTAAGATTTTCACTCAAATTTATTAATGAAGTAAGGTATTGAAATGTTAAAAAGATCACATATTAAATCTTCTAGATACCTGTTCTTTATATTTAAGAAAAATTAAAGATTTTGTTAATTTTTTTTTTTTTTTAGTAAAATCGTGATTTCATTTTAAGTGTTCACTTTTCAGAGCATCTTATTCTTGTATAAGAGGCTGCTGCTGCAAATAAGTAAACCTCCAAAAAAAAAATAGTATACAAGTACTGTATGAAAATCCTCTAAAATTGGAATAATGTACTTTGATAAATTTACTTAGAGTTAACACTAAATTGCGAGAATTAATAAGATTTGACTGTGTAAATTAAAATAAAATGTGTGTTTTAGTATTTAATAATTTTGTATTTATTGACAATTTAGGTTCAATTGGAACTTTTTGGTTTTATTTCAAATGTACAGCTGATGGGACAAATTTTTCTATTGCAGCTTCTAATTGTTTTGCAACCTCAGCATTTTGTTTCCTGCTCAACACCCAACAAGAGATGTAATCATTTTGTCCACACTTTGTTTTTGTTTGTTTTTTTATATTTCAGTAGAAATAACTTTTTTGAGCATCATATTTAATAAGTATCCATTTTGAAATTTTTGATAAAATCAAAAGTTTTGATTTGTTTTGCTTTATGTAATTGGTGGGATGGTAGTGTTGAGAATTTCGTTCTTTTTTCTAATGAAGACTTAACTGTAATTTTCTTGCATAAAAATTTAGGAAATCTAAATATTTTTCATATAAATGCATTTGCTGCACTTGTTGAGTAAACTTTTCTTGCTTAAACTATTTTCATCTTGCCAATAAATTCAATTTAATCTCAATGCTTTTTATTTTTAAAATTTTTTTTTAATGTTTTGTTTTTCCAAAAGATTTTCAAAAGTCTAGGAAAACCAGTCTGAACGCCACCATCCTTTCTTTGTACAATCTTTTTGCAATGAAGTATTGTCTGTATTTGAAGAGAACTCTGTTATTAATTTTCAGTTATAACAGGAAAACTACACTCTAGAATTTAATAATTCTTTTCATTTATTCCGCTAGCAAAATAGCTGTAGATGCCACTGAACTTTTGTAAGATTCATCTAATTTACCTCCTTATAAAATTTTTATCTTAGAAAAAAAATTATTTTTGTATAGCTTAGAAAGAAAAAAAACCTTTATTTATCATAACTAGAAAGAATTAAATCGATTTGCAACTGCGACAATTACTTGCTCAGTTCTTGACAATAACAGACAGTAGGTATCGATTCATTTTACATTGCATGTTATTTTATAAACTTGTTCTGTATACTACTTTAGGAAACAGGTATGGTGCATGTCTACCGCCGATGTTAATTGCTTCAGTGCCTGCTAGTGTTTTAAGAAATCAGTTAGAAATCTCAAATTTTTTATTAAAAAATTAAAAAAAAAAAAACATTGTAAATATGGCATAATATTTTTCTGTGTGCCTAAAAAAATAAGCCAAAACTAATGTTCAACAGGTTATGAAGAGTTGGCAATTCTTTATTGTGCTTACTATAGCAACCCATACTGTAGATATCTACCAAATCTAAACCTATATTAGTTATTTAAACATGTATCATGAGTATGGAACACAATCTGTTTGCTCAATAAATACTTAAATAATGTACCATTAATTTGCATTTTTTCTCTTTGATTTAATATTGTTACCTTTTGCTTACTTACAGCTACGATCAGATGTAGTTCCCAAAACAGCAGGTATGTGAAAATTTGTTTCTAATTTTTGTGTTAACTTTTTATCTCTTAACTCTGTTTGTATTTTATTTAACATTGCAACTAAACTAATCTGTTTCATTAATATGTTTAAATTTAATAATCACATTGTTACCAATTTTAAGTTGTCACCTGATTTTTTTTTAAAAAGAATTCTGAATTTAATAATCAACGTAGTGTACTATTTGCAGACAAAAATGTAAATTAAGACCTGTCTTAACATCAGTGATCAAGTGTACTTTCAAAGTTCTTCTCCATTTGTAAATTCTGGGTATCTTTAAAAAAAAGAAGAAAAAATTAGCACATCATTTTTCTTTCTAAGTATAATTTCTAACCCTTGAAAATTGAAGAAGTTTTAAAGTCCTAAAATTGTATGAATCATCAGTTTTTTTTTGTTTTTTTTTGTCATTGCAAACCAGGATAATTTTTATTTATTACATAACTGCACAAAAATAGAAAAGTTCATTGTAGCTATATAATTTTAAAGTCATAAGTGCTGCCAATTTGTGAAACAGTAAAAAATGCAACGAAATGTATTTTTTGTAATGACTTGTTGATATTGAAAAAAAATATGAATGAGGAGAGGTAGTGAGAGTTACTATGTTAATAATTAATCTAATAGCAAAATTTAATGTTTTCTGAATCGAAGTTTTAATTAATTTTTTTATAATTGTGTTATGTTATCTTTCAGTTATGTATGTTTCAATTTATTTAGATTCAATATTTTTTTCATTTATCATTTTAATTTTTTTATTTCATTTTATTATATATCAGAGGTGGCCAACCTGCGGATCGCGAGCCACATGCGGCTCTTTGAAGGATTATTTGTGGCTCTCGATAGATGTACCCGAGCTCCCTTTTAATTTTTGTGCTATTATATTTTTAAAAATTATTATCGTTCTGTATGTGTTTCAAAATGTCTTTTAAATTACTGCGCACAAATATGAAAGACTAAGTGCAACATTGCTCTATTCAAGGTGAGTTTTCCATTTCCAATATAATTATGACACAAAAAGCATCTGGAGAATTAGAATTAATAGAGATGCAAGAAGATCAAGCTCTACAATTAAAATATAAGTCGACGTCGATTACTGAATTTTAGAAATTTGTACCAGAATCGAAGTATCCTGAATTAAAAAAAGCTGATTGTAGAATTACTTCAATGTTCGAAACAACGTACTTATGTTAATCATTTTATTTCACTTTAAAATTCATGAAATCTAAAAACCGATCAGTATTAACTAACCAGCATCTCAAAGAATTACTGAGAAGTGCTGACACCAATTATTCATCAAATTTTAAAGAATTATCAAGAGAAGTAAAATAAATGTGTTTAATTTTTAATATTTAAATTCAATACACATATTTTGTACTTTTACTTATATGTTCTCAATAAATATAATTCATGTAAAAAAAAAAAATTCATACCTTTTAAATATGTATTTAATTGAGACTCGCGAAAAATTTCAAATTTTGAAAAATGCCTAGACTATCAAAGAGCTTGGCCACCCCTATTATATATATTCATTTCATTTTATTATTTATATATATATATATATATTTTCATTTTCATTTTTACTAACTGTACCAGAGAAGATTTAAAAAGATTAGTTTTGTATATCATTTAAATTAGTAAAAAATATCTAAATACAACCTACATGTTTAAAATTACAGCTTTCTGTTAATGCTGGCCTCTAACATTTCATTTTTTAATTAATTAAGTATACTCTCAAAATATACTTTCAATATTTGAATTGCCTCAGAAAGGTTTCATCATAAACATCAACTATAATGCAAGGCTGGAATGTTGATGACCCAAAAATACTTTTAAAAAATTAATAGATAATGTTTAAATTGTATTGATCATTACTTTTACCCATCACATAGTAGTTTCATCTTTTTAAAAAGTTATGCCGATTCATAATCTTTTGTTTCAATTGTCAATGTTTCTTTTATAATACATTTATTTCTGAAATGTTTAATAAAAAGAAGGTAATTATTCTTGTGATTTCTTTTTTCATTAAACAAAATTCATCGATTTTGAAATTTTACTAATTGCTTAGCTATTTCTATTTTATATGCAATTTATTCATTAAATTAATATTGTCTTGCAAAATTCCCGTTAATGAGTTTAGTGTGAGTGTGAAAAGGGAGATATGTTAATTGTTTACTTTTATATATATTGATAAGTCTAAAAAAAATTTAGCTTTTAAAACAGACCTGTAAATAATTATTTTAAACTTAATCAATTCTACCTGTTAAATTTTACGATCCTTTACTTTAAACTTGTGATGTATATTCTTAGTATTTTATTCTCTTTTATAGAAAACTTCAGAGCTTTATGTACTGGAGAGAAGGGTTTTGGATATAAGGGAAGCATTTTCCACAGGGTTATTCCTAATTTTATGTGCCAAGCTGGTGATTTCACTAATCATAACGGCACTGGAGGACGTTCCATTTATGGTGATAGGTTTGAAGATGAAAACTTCACACTGAAGCATACAGGCCCTGGTAATATACAGTTTTTGAGATACTATGTTTAACAATAAAAATAAAGCACAAATTTTTGCTTTATTCATATTATTTACCTTTTTGTATCAGGATTCCCATGGTACTTGAAAGTCTTTGAATTTTGTTGGAAAAATCAGAGCTATGATATAGCCAAGTTTTGATTATTTTGCAATAATAAATAAATAATATTTATGTTTTTTTTTTAACAAATTAATATTGCTATTCGGATGCCGAATATTCGGTAAATGGTCGATTTTTTGGGCCCAATAATTGGTGTTCAGCTGATATGCAGTTTCTTCGAATTTTAAATATAGTCAGTGTGTTACTTCATTATTATGGTGAATTAAAGTTGTTATCCTTAATACTTAACTATTTGTTCTTTTAATTTTTTACTAAGGATCTATAATTTTTTTTATCGTTTATGCTCATAATTTTACATTTAATATTTATCTCTAATTTATCTCTTCCGTGAATTATGAAATCAAACATCTTGATTCCTATGAAAGTGATTGGGGAATCATGTGTCAAAGATCTCATTATAGTCATTTGTAAAAAACTCGTTAAGGTATGCATCGAAATAACATTAAGAAGTTATTTCTGAATCACGCAAAATGATACATATTTAAGTGTGTTGTACATCATGCTTTGCAATTCTCATTCAAGTGATTTACAAAATACGCATCCAAACTAGTATAAGTAATTAAGAATTATCTATCTTGATTCCTATCAAAATAATTAATAGAATTATCCCTAATTGCAATTTTCTTCAAAAAAAAAAATGCTTTGAAAAAAATTTTAAGTGCTTAAAAGGTACTTATTTTTGTTGAAGAATTTGGCTACTCACCCTGTATATGTATCTCAGATTAAATTCTATCTCATTTAAGTACTATCATGGTGGTAAGGAGTACTTAATAAACTTATGTTTTTGTTATGTTAATGTTTTGTACTAAACAGAGTAGTGCCCTTTTTAATTAAAAAAATTATGTTTGTGTACAATTTCTAAATCAGTCTGATATGTGAAGGCAAAAAAAAAAAAAAAATATTATTGATAAAGACATTTTTATTTAAGCATTTATTGAATGCTACTTTAAATTGTTCAAATGAGCTCTTCTGAAAATAGAAAAAGACTTAAAACTATCATATTTGGGGGGAAATATTGTTCTGAAATTCATGTGTGTCTTACATAGTTAAAAACTTCATTGTATTTTAGTGTTTTAAATTTTTGCTAAATTATTAAATAGAATTGAATGTTAAATGTTTAAGATTATCATGTTTAGAATTTATTTCTGTAGAAAAAAAAAGTTAGAAAAATATGTTAGTCATTTTAAATGTACAGAAGAACCCCACACATTTGAACCATTATTAGTTTTTAAAAAAATTATGTAAAGGATCCTTATTAAACTTTTCAAAAAATAACTATGAGAAAAACAGCCACTCAGTTAATAATACAATAGAAAGACTGAATCTGTATTTTAATTGTGGTGATAACCCTCTAAAATCTAACGATAAAATAAATTCATATTATACAATAGAAAGACTAAATCTGTATTTTAATTGTGGTGATAACCCTCTAAAACCTAACTGTAAAATAAATTCATATTATACAATAGAAAGACTAAATCTGTATTTTAATTGCCGTGATAACCCTATAAAATAAATTCATATTATCTTTTTGAATACTAAAAGATGCAATTCAGATATCATGTAAAGCATTACATAGTTTAACACATATTGGCACTGTAATATAATAATAAAAAATATCACAAAAAACCTAATGTATGGCAGTATAACAGAATAAAAAGACAAAACTTTGATTTGCCTGCAAAAATTGCATGATACATTAATTACAATCAAAAATTATAGATACTCTGAATTTTCAGTAATTTGAAAAAACAATTTTAATTGTACAGATTAACGAGATTATGCTATATTTCTTAAATTGTTAGAAGTATAAATTCTCAGGTTTTTACTTTAAATTACTAAACATTCTCAAAAATAAAATAAATTTAGAAATGTTGATATCATATTTGCGAAAGAAAACAATTCCACCGTGTAATACAGTAGGGAACCGATTATCCGGAACGATCGGGACCATCGCTATTCCGGATGACTGATTTTCCCGGTTTTCTGAATCGCTACAAAAAGCCGTTTTTTTTTTTATTGTTAAACCCAACTAAAAAAATAAATAAATAAATTTTGGAAATAATCTTAAAAAGAAGAAAAAACGAATTAATACACTAATGATTATTTCTAAAATGATGGTAATTACCTTACCATCATTTACATCTTTCAAAAAAGAAAGAAAAATCCTAAAATCTTATGAGGAAAAAAAAAAAATTTTTTTTAAATGTTGGGAAAATTTATTGAATTTCGATCCGGTTTTTTTTGTTTTCCGGTTTTCTGATTTCCGGATAACAGGTTCTGTACTGTATTACATTTTTTATATTTTATTCTTGTATATTGTATTATTTCATTTTGTTCATGTAATTATTTTAATTAAATAAAAACAATTTTAGGAATCTTATCCATGGCAAATGCTGGTCCAAACACTAATGGGTCCCAGTTTTTCATCACAACAGTAAAAACTGCCTGGTAAGAAAATCTATCTTGTATGAATAAATTTTGTTTTTCTTGCTACTAAGCAAAAATTCTTATTTAATATTAAAAAAGATTACCTCTAAGTTTTTTATTGCTTTTTATTAAGTTTCTTAAATGTTTTAATAAACTGTTCAAATAGTTTTTGTATTATATGTTTAATTAAGCAAGTTCACATTCTTATAAAAATATAAACTTAGAAGGAAATATTGTTTTACAGATTTTTGTTAATACAGTAGGGAACCGATTATTGGGACCATCGCTATTCCGGATAACTGATTTTTCCGGTTTTCTGAATCGCTACAAAAAGCCGTTTTTTTATTGTTAAACCCAACTAAAAAAAATATATTTGGAAATAATCTTAAAAAGAAGAAAAAACAATGAAGTAATACACTAATGATTATTTCCAAAATGATGGTAAGGTAAACATCTTTCAAAAAAGAAAGAAGAATTCTAAAATCTTATGAGGAAAAAAACATTTCTTTTTAAAAAATGGAGGGAAAATTTATCGAATTTTGTTCCGGTTCTTTGGTTTTCTGATTTCCGGATAACGGGTTCTGTACTGTACTTTCTTATGTTAAGCACAATATAATCCAGCTGTATATTGCATTACCATTTTCAGTAATATTTGTAACATCACTCTATTTATAATAAGTATGTATGAAAATGTTAAGGATTTCAATTTATTACTTATATATTTTTTCCGAAGGCTTTTTTTGATTTGTATGGCAGAAGTAATGTAGTTCTGAATATAAGCCTGTCCATTTATAAGCTGAGAGTAACCCATGTATGAACTGACATTTAAAATAATTGATTAACAGTTTGGTTTAACTTTCAACTTCCCTTTTGAACTTACTAGCTATTTTAGTATATTTGTTTACCTTTATATTGTAGTATTATATAGTATATTTGTTTGCCAAAATAAAAACCTTTTGAATGTCCCACTGATATATTGTTGCCAACATCTGCGTTCCCCTACCATCTTCTCCTACCTGTCTGGATTGATGTCATCCATGTAGCGGAAAGAAGCATAAAAATGAGTGAAAATGTTATGTGCATTTTATCTCTGAATAAGCTTACATTACTGCTCTAAACATTTTACTTAAAAATGAGATATAAGGCAGGTTGTGCACACCTACTTTATATTTATTATTGTATAAACCAGCATATATTTTTTTTTAATTTAGAAGCTATTTGATGATATAAAACTAGTTGAATTTGTTTTCCCTCATACTTTGCTTACAATCTGAGATTTTTAGATACTTTTCAATGCAAACATATAATATATACTTTTATCAAAATCTCCTCTGTCCGTTCGATTTTCGATGTCTGGAAGTCTAATACAATTTTAAATGTTTGTTTAAATTATGAGTAATACTGTAAAATTTTCTGCGAAAAGTGTTCGCCTGTTTGTGTATATTATGCATATCTGCTTGCAATCGTGCTTAAGAAATTAGAGTGCTCTCTATCTTCCCATCATTTAGTATTATTGCTTTCAAACTGTTAAAAAATTTTCAATGATTAGTGTAGAACTTTGAAATTTTTGGTGCATATTCTAAAGAACATGAATTACTTAATACCTTGAACCTAAATTTATCTAATCGTCTAAATATGTCACTTTTTTTTTTAATAATTAACTTAAAGATTTGAAATTGTTTCTGGACTATATATATTCATGTAAAATATTATGGATAGTTTAAGTAATATTTTTTTCTATTGCAAAATTTAATTTGAATTTTTTTGGCTTTTTTGAAATTTTTCTTTGAGTGTTTTTAAATATTTGATAAATAAAAAACTATATGTAATAAGCTATGCGATTTATCGTATTAATTTTACAGAATTATTATTTTTTTTTACATATTTTAAGTATTAAAAGAGAAAAAATAAACTAAACAATTTTTAGATTAGATATTCTATGCAAGTTTTAATGTTAAAAAGCTTAATGGGCATACTGAAAATAAAATTAATATTTAAAAAGGGCTTTTTTTGTAAAAATGCTTATCAGTGTTTATTTTCTTTCATAAGTTTTAATTAACCCTTTCGCACCTAACGGGACACATACGTCCCAAGCAAATTTCAAAAAAATCTTTTGGGACAAAAATGCTTTTCTGTCTAATGGGAGTCTTTCCCACCAGTCCTGCCAATTTTTTTGAAGGTATTTTCATTCACAGAACATACTACTACTGTACATAATGCTACTGTACATAATGCTGCCCTACTCATAGTTTATGCTACCAAAATTGTACTGTTGTAAAAAAAAACTTTGCGAAAGGTTTAAAAGAAGAAAAAAAGTAAGTTCAGGCTAACCGAGAGTAAGTCGTGAAGTTTCAATTGCTGAAAAGAATACTTCAAAATATTAGAATGCAAACAAATTATTAGAAGAGAACTCAGTTATCTTCTCCTATGTTATCTCATAATTCATTTTCATTTGTATATTTTAAAATTTCCTTTTCAGTATTTGAAACTTCGTGTCTTACTCTAGGTTTGTCTGAACTCATTTTTTCTACACTTTAAATTTTAAATTAGTAATGAAGTAAAAAGAGAATTTGCGAAGTAAATTTTTTTGCTGTTTGGCGTCCTCTTAAATTTTTTCCAAACTTATTTTTATTTTTTTAATTTTAAATGTGTTCTCTCTTTTGTTATTTTTTATTTCTCATACTCATGGTGGTTTCTTTTTTTTGTAGGTTAGATGGAAAACATGTTGTCTTTGGACAAGTAGTAGAAGGTATGGATGTTGTAAAAAAAATTGAAGGCTATGGAAGCCAAAGCGGCAAAACCACCAAGACAATCGCTATTGCTGATTCAAATCAACTGTAGGCCCTTTCTGGCCTTTAAACTGACGGCAACTTTCATTCCATGTTTTCTCTTGCAACATGATTTAATTAAGTACGGATTTAAAAATTGTATAATTTTTTGCTACTTATTTCTTTTTTAATTTATATAAGTACAATGTGGATTTTTTTTACTTAGAAAAGTTCATGTTAGTCATACCTTATGAGGAACTAACATACTGGATATTCTAGTATATTTCCTTAACTTGTTTGTATGATCTGATCTTCTAATATGTATTCTCTGCATTTTTAGCTGGTCTGTAACTTTTGCCTTTTAATTTTCCCCCATCTCTAGAGTAGCATTCTTGTGACCTTAAATAAAGACATTTAATGTTCCGTGTAGTGTCATTACCTAACATTAACAATAAATTTACTAACTGTTGAGTTAGTTCATAATTGCATAAGTTAAGGTAGAATTATATAATTAATAACATTTTATAATTATAGTTCCTTTTTTTATGAATATACAATGATGCCATATATTCCAATATACCTGTGTTTATCACGATATTTAAAGATTCAAGAAATATATGAAAATCTCGCGTCAAATAAATTTATTGAAAGAAAAATTTCCAAGATGCTATATATTTTTTTAACATGAAAAACAAATTCTGCTAGTGGGGCTTATACAGTTCATTAAACCTCCTACAATTGTTTGTTCTATTTCTTTTATTAAAACCTTGATAGTTTTAGAAGAAAATATAAAAAAAGGAATAATGATCTAGCAATTGAAGCTAACATTATATCTCATCAGAAAGAAGTTTAAAATGTAAACATTTTTCGCAGTTGTATGAAAATTTATTTAAGTATTAAGTATATTGCATGAAAATTCACTTTTGATGACCCTTTAATAATGCATGTAACTCTGACTGATGTTGCATTCTGGAAGAAGGGTTTTATTCAATAGAATTTCAAATATGCAGTCTGATACATTCATAAATGCATCAGGAATGAAATTCGTAATTTAAACAATTTGATAATTTTGATTTAAAAACCATAGTGCTGGTGTAATGCGGAACAAAATATCTCAACTATCTGGTACATGGTGGGCGGGGTGCACAACCAGAACTAATTTCTGTTATGCAACATTTTTTCAACTAGATGAAGGGGTGGGGGAACCTATTTCTGAAAACTGAATCTTTATTTAGGGTACCCACAGTGCTAAAAAGTTCTAAAAAAACAACTTAATTTTTATTTTGGAAAATAGGCAGCATTAATTAATTTTGTTTCAAGTTCTTTTAAAGGTCCTTAATGTCAAGTATCACTAGTTTGAACAATTTTTGTAGTCTTACAAAAATATTTAAAACAAATTTTGAAAGACAAAAAAAGGGTATTTGTGAGGGGGACTCGGGGATGAGATTTTTTAGTGGATTTCCGCTTTTTCTCTTTTGTCTTTCGAATTTCAGCCTTTTTATCAAAAGCTGTGATTCTCTAAAAGTTTCAGGCTTTATATAAATATTCCTCCATTTCTGGAAATTCAGTCGGTGAAATGAAATTCTATTTATTTCAGATTTTCAAAGATATACAGAAAATTCAAACTATGTCGTAGCTGCCAGCCCTTCCACAGTTTTATTTATTTTAGCTATTTTACGCGCAGAAAATAAGATTTTCCGTGTTTTTACCCTCCCGTAAGATAGCTCATGTTTTCTTTACTCAGGCATCGCTGCTTCCTGTTGGCTAGCTCGAAGGCAAACGAAATTATTAAAAAGTAGCGGTAGATTTGCGGTGAAAATATTTATTCATTCAATTAATCTTGTAAATTTTTATTTATTGTGTCTGAACAAAAACAATACAAACAAGCCTTTTAGAAATCCCAAGTCCAGAATCTGCTAATATCTCAATTCTTATTCGCGTGATTTAAATATCGTACATTGCGATTCTTTTTTATGAGATTTAAAAATCCAATATCGTGATTTGTATTACGCTTTTTTAAAACCCTATGTAACGATTCGTATTCACACAAGTTTAAAATCCAATGTCGTGGTTCGCTTATGCGACTGTAATATCAAACATAGATTTTCGAAGTATAAAGATTTCAATAATATATATAGCTTTTTTTTTTGTTTGGTACCTAAAGTTTAGTTTACTAACCAAAGTGTTACTTTTTTATTTAACTGTAAAATTCATGCATGATATTTATTATGTACCTATGTTGAATTAAATACCGAATTTGAATTGTGTAGATGATAACAGTATATTTCTCAGGGATGATATTTTTTCGCTTTTGTCTCTTAAATTTCGACCTTTTTATCAAAAACTCAGATTCTCTAAAAGTTTCGGGCTTTTTTATATAAATATTACGCTATTTCTGGAAATTCAGTTATTGAAATAAAATAATTATATTTATTTCCGATTTTCAAAGATGAACTGAAAATTCTATCTACGTAGCTGCCAACTCTTTCGCATTTTTACTTATTTAAGATATTTTCTCCGCTTATACATGCAGAAAATAAGATTTTCCATTTCAACTTAAAAATTATGCATCGTGATTCGTATTTACGCTATCTAAATATTATGCATCGTGATTTGTATTTCCGCATTTTTGAAATCCAATATTGAGTTTCCTAACGTGATTTAAAAGCTACATATCGGGATTCATATTCTCTCAATTTAAAATCAAATATTGCAATACTTATTCACACGATTTTAAAATCATGCTTGTGATTCATATTCATACAATTTTAAAATTAATCACCGGGATTTATAATTACATGGTTTAGAAAAAGTAATATGCACGGTTTGACAATTATATCTCAAAACTTGTCTCTGACAAACTGCTTGTTTACTGCATAGTTCTTCACCATCTTTCGTTTTTATATCTATCTATAATAGATTATAAAATTTTGTTATTGCAGAATAAAAAATATTACGAATTATTTTGTACAAAATAGACTTTCAATTTGAGGAGAAAATTGAGATCTTTGTAACACCGAAATTGTGATTTTTAAATTTCTTAGTTTGAACCAAGTGTGTTTCAATATGCGGAGTTAAATCAAAAATCATAACAGAAAATTAATAAAGAAGTGGAAAATTTGGCTCTTGTATAATAATAAACCTGTATTTTCAGGTTAAATTTTTTCTGTTATCCCGTCTTATCTGCAGTCTAGTCTATTTGTTTTAAAACTCTGGCATGAATCTAATTTTATTGCTGTTGTCGTCAGCCATTAAAGCAGAGGAGGTGTGATTGTTCTTGTTTTCCAGTGGTGCCATCTATATTCAAGAATTCGACTTCTGTCTCCCCCATTTATAGGACGGACCCATTCATTCATCCACAGATCAGGGCTCGAAAAACCGCCCGTCCTCGGCAGTCAAAAATTCCCCGCGGACAACGAATTTCTCGAATCCGACGTCCGCGCGGACGGCCATTTTCCCGTTAATGTTCGTGATACATTTTCAGTTTTTGTTATCTTACAAGAGTCTAGTAGCTCCTCACTTCTAAAATGACCCACAATACAGCAACATACTGCGCATGGTGGAATTGATGTTTTCTCTGTCTGGTCTCAGCGGTTGAAAGGGGCTTTTCAGCAATGAACTTCCAAAAAAACACATTACGTACTGGTCTTAAACAAAAAGCGTTAAACGTAATTATGAACATCTACCTAAATGGAAAACCCATTTCATATTTCTGTGCAGAAGCCTGTAAATCATTGACTGATTGGGGAACTGGCAAACGTCATATTTGATTCATTTGAAAAACGCAGTACCCTGGGATAAATCGACATTCTAGATAACTTGACCTTTAAATTATTTCATAAAAGAAATACTAGGTTCCTATTAGTAACCTAGTATTTATTTTATTGCTGTATAATGTAATCCTAGTAACTACTAATTCAGTGTGCAATTTATATAAATGTTTGCAATAAATAAGAGAAAATTAAATTTTTATTTATTTAGAGGCTACGGGTTAGTTGTTGAACAAGCCGTCCTTGGGGACGGATAAAATTTTTGAGTTTCTTCGAGCCCTGCCACAGATCATAATTTTAACCTGAACCAGAGAACGATCAATCTCCAATTCAGTACCCCCAAAAGGTATTGATTTCGTAATGGGAACATAGAGGACTCTGTGACCCGACAGATTTAACATGCACCAGTCACCATTTACTACACGTCTTTGGCCAGCTGGATTCGAACTGCCGTTCTCACAAATGTTAGTCCAGTACCCTGCCAACCAGGCTATCACAGCCAATTTTAATTTATTAATCAGAATATGTTGCTTTTATACAAATTAAAATATGTTTGAAATACTTCTCTTAATAACTTAAATGAAACTATATTTTTGAGTCGAATCATTTTAATAATTTTTTTTTTTTTTTTGCTTAAATTAAAAGAGCACACAAACTTTCTTCGCAACAACAGTGCTTCAAAAATGTTGAGTTTTTCTTTCTTTCAATATATCCTGATTAATATAAAATATTTAATCATACTTATGTTCCCTGCCAATCAGTTTTAACAATTTTTATTAGAAATATTTCTTTGACCTTATAAATAAAACGATTTTTAACTCCTGTCTAAAGTAAAAGAAAACGATATGTATAAGCTGTGTAAGTATAGAACAAAAACAAGTTTAAAAAATTTGATCCTCATTTTACAATATTTTAAAAATAAAGAATGTTGCCTGGGCAGAATCATAGAGACATCTCCTAAAGTGATGTTAAGTTTCTGGTTCATATTTTCGAACAAAATGCATAGCCACATTATTTTAATGATATTTACTTTCTGCAGTGGCCAGGTAAGTAATTTTTTTTTTTTTTTTTAATTTAACCTGTTAACCGGGAATAAACTTTTGTTCAACTCGTTTCACAATCGAAACTTTTCATAAGTAATATCACGTTGATGAAAAATTTCGCCATACACATTTAACAGGTTAATGTTATATTTTGCTTCCCCAAACCTTTCTAATTAATCATAATTGTTCTTAAAGATAAACTTTTATAAAAAGAGTTAATTATATCTACTGTAAAACAAATCATTAACCCTGCCATACGACCCTCCAGGGTTAATAATGAAGTTTATAAACTTTTGTTTGTGATAGTTCGATACTATGTTTAAAAAATAATGATTTCTAATTACAATGCCGAGTAAAGTAACATCTTTACTACATATCAAAATTGCTCCTCCAAATAACCGAATTTTGATATCGTCAAAGGCAATACCGCAGATTAAATCCCAGATTATTTTAATTGATAATTTTACATTCCACTTAAACCATACTCCTTTTTATTTAATTAGTGTGATTTGTAAATAAACGAATCATTTTTCGGCTATGTTAGATAAATATGCATAATGGCTTTTAGTGTGCAAAAGAAAAATCAGTTTTTTTTTGGGGGGGGGGGATT